TTGATTACTTTTTGATAAATAATTCGTTCTTATTGCGAAATAGGAGCACTATTTATCAATCTGTAATAAAAGACGTGAGGACAGAATTTCCTTTCCTTTTTTAAAGACAAAAAAAATTTTTGAGGCGAAATACCCAAAAAGGAGTTGGCAAAAAACAAATATTTTTATCAGCCTGTATATTGCAGTCGTTCATTGCTGATGTTTTTAGAGAATTTTTGGCGAACGTTTGGTGACAAACTTCCTCTTCGAGAGCGACTATTGCGACGAGCCATCTTTGCCATCGCCCGAACAACTGAAAAATCGAATTCTGATCAAGAACAAGAAGCTTTCGGTGGAAATTCCTGCTCCATTCACCCCAATGTCTACGCCCATCCGGCCGGCAAGCGGAGTGAGACACTCAGTTCCCGGAAGAACCAGCTCGATTATCAGCAACGCCAGTTCCAGTTCGTTTAATGATGATTTCAGCGATGATGATTACGATGATGAAGATGACGAGGACAATATGGAAGGTAAATTAAATTTTTTAGTCGACAGTATAGTAGTTCCAGATCGGAAATGAGGACTTTTTAAAGCGGAGGGCGCATTTTGCATTTTCAACTCAAAATTTTAAACATTTCCTGATTAAACTGTCGCCTACAAAGTGTGCTTTTTACAAATTTCTGCTTCTCCCGGATCGGAATTTAGGAATTTTTAAGAGCGCAATTGACTGTAAAAGTTCATTTTCTAGTCAGCATTTACCAAGTCGATAAAAATCAGGACATGTGTCGATCCTTGAGAAATTTTGCCTGGTTTGGGCTCCAACTGTGGTCGACCAACTCTGAAATTTTAAAATTTCTGCCTGCGGTGGATCGGAAGTTATGGATTTTTAGAGCGGAGGGTGCAATTAGTTGAAAACGTTCATTTTCATGTGGTCATTTACATTTAAGTCGGTGAAAATCTGAAGATGGGGGCGATTGAATGAAATTTTACGCACTTTCCGATTCATTTGAATGAAATTTTAGATAAAACGATCCATACCATACTGGCTCCGACTGATTCACCACGCACATTTGGAAGTCATGCAGTTTCAAAAACCAGCTCGACCAAACGCTCGCTGCCCACCGATGATAAGCTGAGGAAAAAGGGCAGTCAAATATCCAAAGAGCTCTCGGACTTGGTGGTTTATATTCAGGTAGGACGCAAAAATCTTCCAAACTCTCCTGTAACATTTTGAGTGATTCCAGGCCATTAAGTTCCGAGGCCTAAACAACATATCGCCGAACAGTTCGGTCAAGCAGCGACCAAAAACTTGCGTATCAATATCGGGTAGTTCAATTGTGACGACTGGCAGCAGTTCGGCATCCAACATATCATCTTCTGGCATTGGAAGCGAATCGGATAGCATTTTATACGAGAATGAAGTGTGCCAGGATAAGAAGCTGCCGCGTCCAAACCTGAACTATCCATGCTATCAGTGCTCTTCTATCAATGAAAACACTGCGAAAAAACTCTGCAGGAAACAGCCTTTGGCCTTGGTGGCGCACACCCAGACTCAGCTGATGAGGACTTATCCGGCCCCCATGCGAATCGACTCCAGCAATTTCAATCCTGTGATATTTTGGTCGTTTGGTAAGCACCCA